AATAAGGTAAATAATAGCTTTTAATGCATTGAATGACAACGATACTCGCAAACAACATTCATTGTATTAGTACGCCAATGTGTCCTATCACTCATTTCTTTATAACCTGCACATTATATTACGTATAATTCGATTGGATGTCGTATTTTATATTTTACCTTGCTGTCGGTCATGAGTTGGCTTAGTAAGGCCAGTTGGGTTCCCTTGCCACCAACCAGCAGAGAAGCAGAACACACAGATGCATCGAAAGACAATGTCAAAACTCCTCTATCTCTGACGTGCTCTGCGAGAAAGTTATAATACAAAACCAAGCGTTTTTATATAGAAAGGAATACTTGCGTAAAATAAATAAACTGCCAATGAATTGCCATAGAAAGTGCAGTGAACGTCACGATGAATTCTTGTTGTTTATTTGCTATATAATAACCATGTATATGAAGTTATACTTAGTATACGAATGAACAACTACAAAAACTGTAATAGGTAAATTAGGCTCCATAATCAGTTTACAGTCATCAGTCTTCAGTTTAGGCCTACCAAGTTCCTTTAACATTGGAAGTGACGTTTGCAGTGGAACTGGACAGCCATCGTCATTTCTGAAGACAAGATACAAGTTTAAAATATCAAAACAATAACCGCGCTGTATTGTGTTTAAACGTGTATACTTTGTATCAGAGCCAAATGTATATCTTCACATATTATATCGCTCAATGGAAAACTCCGTGACTTATTACAAACACGCTATAGTCGGGTAAAGCAGTAATTCCTTGGCATATAGTATTGTAGATAAATTCGAGATGTAACGATTCGATAACTGTAGATAGATAGAGGTTTCAAGATATAATATTCTAAACAACGTCATGTCTATCGGCACAATAATTTGGATAAATATCTAACTCTACAACCGTTACGCTGCGTTACTTTGCGTTACGTTTCCTCACGTTACGTTATGTAGGCACACGCACGAGAAATGTCACTTACGTTTTTGTTGCGTCTTGAGTTATCTTTTACAAACACAACACACCACAAACAACATGAATACTTTCATGTGCATTTACTTAGCATGCATTTATACGAATGAACGTTGTTATTCATTTTGTCATTTATAACTTTGCATAGCAATCGTCAAAAATTAGTACATAATAATGTAAATTCCCAAACCTGTATAGGTACTCAGTAACACCCCAGCCCTTGATTCCTTTCATCGTTACATTGGTAAATTGCTCGTGTATCCTGGAGTTCCATTGCTCTCCTACATAGAGAATCTGCTCCTGGTTCTTCTCTACCGTAATGTGGCAGTCAAGATGGCCTAAAACCAAACGACAAATATCGCTTGAACGTGTCATGATGGTAATTATCTTGGCTTTGTTGAGTTATGTTTAAGAGTATGTAGTATCATTAGCGTGCTATATATTCGCGTGCGCAATAGCACGCAGATGCGCAGGTATTTGCCAGTGTTGTAGGCCTCGATGCCGGTTTCTTTGGTCTCGGCCTCGGCCTTGGCCTCGGAGTGCAATGACTCGGACTCGCACTCGGACTCGGGTCGAGGCCGTCTCGAGGCCACTACATAGTACATAACTGTACACATTGTAAACACGCAGTTTACAAGAATTTAAAACTAAAACTCCTACTTAAATATATGCGATTAGCTGTTTATTGACATTGATTTTTGCCAGTGGAGTGTGTGGAGCTAGAGGCTCGCGTTGCGGCCGGTCCGAGTATAGTTCCTCAACATGCTTTTTTTAAGATACACCACTGTACGCTGATACCGTGTTTATTCATTTTGAACTGTTTTACACATACATGGCGATTTATTTATTGGGCTCTGTTGCGGAACTGTGTGGGAAATACCCTGCGCTATACCACCCCCTTATCGCAACAAGCTGGTATGCTGTTGCAATAATTGCGCGGAATGAAACCCAAATTTTAAGTTGTATACGCGGCGCAATAGCTATCTGCCGAAACCAGGTAGATTTGTTACACAATGGACATGCGTGTAATATACAGCATACACACGAGCTCAGCCTTAAGATCTCGGGTGTTGAGATTTTCGCGCCGTCATCTCGTCTACTTATTTTATTGTTACCTGACAATGTCGCCTCCTTGAAATTTTGCTAGAAATTTTAAATTGTTTAAACAAATTTAGACTCACGGTATTAGGTTTTAAGGTGTAGGGGTTGGGGTAGAAATTATAGTTTAGGAACACGGTTAAGGTTACAATCAATATAGGTAATTTGGATTTACATTTTTATGCTGGCCACCTTTGACACCTACGGGCGAGAGGTCGGTAGGGGCGAGATTGAAGGGGTGGGATGTATCCCGTAGGCCAACGTAATTAAGGCGCCACAATTTCATATACGTGCACAATGCATGTAATAACGTGTAAAGACCAGTGTAATAGAAACTCTCCAGTGTGATAACGGAGTTTAATATGAACGGTGATATACCCACGATCAACTATGCGCGTCTCCCGCTCTGACTCCCCCGCCGAATATGTGGCACCACTACGAGCTAAAACTAATTGACTCTGTCAAATTTCACATTATCTACCCTTGATACTATTCTCAGTAACCATAATAAGATGGTAACGTTTTCAATGGCTCGATTAAGATTACTGTCCTTTTGGTTTGAATCTGCTGTCGCTTCGTCACTTTGCTCTCTTTCTACCACTTCTTTCTCTTCTTCTACCACTTCGAAGATACTTGGCACTCTCTCATTTGGTTCAAAAAGTACCGTGTCATTCTCGTAAAACACAAATGGATCCGTTACTTTGACACGTTTCATGTGACTCGTGTCTCTCAGACTCTCTCTGTGTTTTCGGCTGACTATACACTTTCAAATGTCTACGATGCCCTGTTGCGATTTTTTCCCAGATCAATCTCATAAGCCAAGTCGGATGATTGCCACTAATGTCATGTTACATGGTAAACATGATTAGGCTTATGTAACTCTTTATGTGATATATGATATTAATTGCTAAATGATATTTTCAGGTAAAGCCAAGCCATTTTTGCTATCGACATGATTATATGTCTGTGACAGTGTGTAACTATTCGAACTTCATGGTTGAACTAAGAAATCAAAGAAATAAAGGTTATGCTACAAGAAAGAACTTTCTGCCCTGTGCTTTTACTTTCTATTTCATGCAAACAAGTGACAGATCCAGGGGGCAGGAGACACCCTCCCCCCTTTTTTGAACAAACACATACATGGAAGTGAGCGGCCTTGTCGGTCTGTGCCCCCCTTTTTTATCAAAACTGGACTCGGACTCGGACCTGGACTCGGACTCGGGTGGTGTGGACTTGGACTCGGACTCGGACTCGGACTCGGGTGGCGTGGACTCGGACTCGGACTCGGGGGGGTGCGGACTCGACTACAACTCTGCTATTTGCACGCGTGCTTATAGACCATTCTTTCTTCTTATAGACCATTATTATAGACCATATTAATGGTCTATTCTTATAGACCATATATTCTTATAGACCATTTTTATAGACGCGTTCTTATAGACCATTATTCATGACCTGGGAGTCATCGCACGAAAACGAGGCTAAGCTAGGCAATTTTGTAAACTATGGCTGCTCAGGCAGGCACGCACAGAGGGGGTACACGCACGTACACGCAGATACACGCACGTACACGCGGGTACACGGAAATACACGCACGTACACGCTGGTACACGCACGTACACGCAGGTACACGCACGTACACGCGGGTACACGCACGTACATGCGGGTACACGGAGATACACTCACGTACACGCGGGTACACGCACGTACACGCAGATACACGCACGTACACGCACGTACACGCGGGTACACGCACGTACACGCAGGTACACGCAGATACACGCACGTACACGCACGTACACGCGGGTACACGCACGTACACGCGGGTACACGCACGTACACGCGGGTACACGCACGTAAACGCGGGTACACACACTTAGCTGGGAAACGTTGGCCGATTGCGTTTCTAGCAACGTACGTGCTACCACGTTTTCCGTCATGTCTCTTATCTCTGCGCATGTGGGTTTAATTTGGCGATATACGAGCCTCGGCGATTGCTTCCCCTTCCATTGATTCAATACGCCTATTCATTGATTCAATTGGCAATTCATTCATTCAATTGGCTCAATTGAATGTTTTCGAATGATGTAAATTGATTGTTCAATTGAATGTTGAAATGATAAATTGATGTTTCAATTGAATGTTTGAAATGATTAAATTGATTGGTTCAATTTGAATGTTTGAATGATTAAAATTGATTGTTCATTGAATGTTCTGAATGATTATTAATTGATTGTTCAATTGAATGTTTGAATGATTAATTGATTGTTTCAATTGAAGCAATCAATTGAATCAATTGAAACATCAATTGATCACTGAACGTTTGAATATTAAATTGACTGTTTCAATTGAAGCAATTCAATCGATCAATTGAACAATCAATCGAATAATTGATGTCGAATTGATTAAATTGACTGTTCAAATTGAACAATCAATACGAATAATTGAATGTTTGAATGATTAAATTGACTGTGCAATTGAACAATCAATCGATAATTGAACAATCCAATCCGAATCCCTTGAAAAAATGTTTGAGATAAGAAAAAAAGAAAGAAAGAAAAGGATGAAAAAGAAGGAACAAAAAAGAGAAAGAATAAGGAAGAACAGAAGGAAAAATGAAAAAAAGAAGAAAAGAAAAAAAAGAAGAGAAAAAAAAGAGAAAGGAGAAGAAAAGAAGAAGAAAGCGAAGAGAGAGAAGAAAGGAAATAGAAAAAAAAAAAAAAGAGAATAGAGAAAAAAAAGAGGAAGAAAGGAGACAAAGAGTGAATAAAAAAAGGAAAAAAGGAAGAGAAAAAGGAGGGAAAGAAAAAAAGAGAGAAGGAAGGGGGGGGGGGGGGAGGGGGAAAGAAGGAAGAAAGAAAAAAAAGAGAAGAAGAGAAAAAAAAAAAGGAAAAAGAAGAAAAGATGAGGAAAAGAAAAAGAAAAGGAAGAAGATGAAGAAAAGAAAAAGGAAGGAAAAAGAAAGAAAGAAGAACAAGAGAGAAGAAGGCAATAGAAAAAAACAGGAAGGAAAAAATAAAGGAAAAAAGAGAGAACAAAGAAAGAAAAATAGTAGAAAAAGAAAAAAAAAGAAAAAAAAATAAAGAAAAAAGGAGGAGGAAAAAAAGGGAGGCAAAGGAAAAGAAGAAAAAAAGAAAAAAAAAAGGAGAAAGGAGGAAGAAAGGATAAAAAAACGAGAAAAGAAAAAAAGAGGAATGGAGAAAAAGTAAAGAAAGAATAAAAGACAAGAGGAGAAGAGCAAAGGGAAATAGAAAGACGGGAGGGAAGAGAAAGAGGAAAGCGACGAAGACAAAGAAAAGAAGGAAGGACCAGAAAGGATGGAGGGAAGACAACGAAAAGGAAAAAGGAGAGGAGGGAGAAAGAAGGGAGAAGAAGAAGGAGAAAAAAAAAGAGAGGAATAATAAAGAATGAGAATAAAAAGAAAAAAAAAAAGAGAAAAAAAAGAGGAAGAGAATTAAAAAATGAAAGAGAAAAAAAAGAGAAAAAAAAAAAAAAGAAGGAAAAAAGAAGGGAGAAGAAAAAGAAGAAAGAAGAGAAAAGGAAAAAAGGAGAAGAAAAGGAAATAAAAAAAAGGAAAAAAAGAAAAAAAAAAAAGGAAGAGGAAAAGAAGAAGAAAGAAGAAAGAAAGAACGAAGAATAGGAAAAAAAAAGAAAAAAAAAAAAAGGAGAGAGAGATGAAAGAGAAAGTAAAGAAGATGAAGAAAAAGGACGAGAAAAAAAAAAAAGGAAGAAAAGAAGAAGAGAGAAAAAAAGAGAAAAATGGAGAAGAAAAGGAAAAAGAAGAAAAGAAAAGAGAAAGGGAGAGGGGAAAAAAAGAAAGAGAAAAAAAAGAAGAAAAAATAAAAAGAGAAATAGATAAAGAAAGGAGGAGAGAAAAGCCAAAGAAGAGATGAGGAGGTAAAAAGAAAAGGAAAAGGGAAGAAAAAAAAAGAAAAGAAAAAGAATGAAAAAGGAAAAAAAGGACAAGAAAAGGAGGAAAAAGGAGAAAAAAGGAAGGAAAAAAAAAGAGAATGAAACGAAGAAAAGAAGGAAGAAAAAAAAAAATAAAAAATAAAAAGAGAGAAGAGAAAAGAAAAGAGGAAAAAAAAAAAAAAAAAAAAAAAAAAGACGAGGGGGGACAAGGAAGAAAAAAGAAGGAAGAAGAAAAAGGAAAAGAGAAGAAAAATCAAGGAAAAGGAAAGAAAAAAAGACAAAGAAGGAAAAGAGGAAAAGGAAAAGAGAGAAAAAAGAAAGGAATAAAGGAAAAGAAAGGGAAGACCAAGAGAAGAAGAAAAGATAAGGTAAAAAGAAAAAAAAAGAAAGAAAGACCAAAAGGAAAAGAGAAAAAAAGAAAAGAAGAAGAAAAGAGAAAGAGAAATAGAGGGAAAAGAAGAGAAAAAGAAAAGAAAAGAGAGAAGAATAAAGAAGGAAAGAAGAAGGAAAAAAAAAGAAAGAAAGAAGAAAAAATGAAGAAAAGGAAGAGAAAAAGAAAAGGAAAGAAAAGAAGAAGAAGAAAAAAAGAGAAAAAAAAAGAGAAAAAAGAGAGAAAAAGGAAGAGAGGAAAGAATGGAAAGAAGAAGTTAAAATAAAATGGAGAAAGAAGAAAGGAAGAAGAGAAAATAGAAGAAGAATGAAAAAAAAGGTAAAGAGAAAGAGAGGAAAAAAAAAAAGAGCAGGAAGATGGAGACGAAGAAGAAAAAAAAAAGAAAAGGAAAGAAGAAAAGAGAAAGAAAGAAAGAGAGAAAAAAGAAAAAAAAGAAGAGAAATAAAAAGAAAAGAGAGGAGAAAACAAGGAAAAGAAGAAAGAAAGAAAAAAAAAATAGAAAGACAAAAAAGGGGAGAAAAACGAAAAGGAAGAGGAGAGAAAGAGAAGAAGGAAGAAAAGAAAAAGAAAGAAAGAGAGGAAGAGAAGAGAATGAGAAAGAAAAAAAGAAAAAGAAAAGAGAGGGGGAAGAAAGAGGGAGAAAGAAAACGTGAATGAAAAATAAAAAAGGAGAAAAAATGAAAGAAGATAAAAAGAGAGGGAAATAGGAAGAAGAACAAAGAAAGAAAAAAAAAAAGGAAAAAAGAAAAAAAAGAAGAAAGGAAGAGGAAAAAAAAAATAAGAGAGAAAAAGAGAAAGGAAAAAAAAAAAAAGAAGAAAGGAAAATGAAGAGGAAAGGCGAAAAGGAAAAAAAAAAGTAGAATGAGAAAGAAGAAGGAAAAAAAAGAAGAAAAGATGGAAATAAGAGAAAAAAAGAAAAAAAAAAAGAGAAAAGAAGAAGGAAGAAAAAAAAAAAAAAACCGGAAGAGAGGAAAAAAGGGAGAAAGAGAAAAGGAGGAAGAAGAAAAAGGATAAGAGAGAAGAGAAGATAAATACAAATGCAGAAAGAAAGAAGGAGAAAGGAAAAAGAGAATGAAGAGAAAGGGAAAGAAAGGAAAAAGAAACAAAAAGAGGACAAAAGAAAAAAAAGAGAAAAGAAAGAGAAAAAAAAGAAGCAAAAAGAAGAGGAAGCAAAGGAGAGGGAAAAATAAAATAAAGAGAAACAAGGAAAAAAGGGAAAAGGAAGAAGAAAGGAAGAGAAAAAAAATAAAGAAAAGGAAAGGAAAGGAGGAAAAAAACAAAAAAAAAAGGGAATGGGGGAAGAAGGAAAGAAAAAAGAAGAAAATAGAAATGAAAAAAGAAAAAGAGGAAAAGAAGAAGAGGAGAGAAGAAAGATAAGAAAGAAAAAAGAAGGAAGAAAAAAGGAAGAAAGGAGAGAAGAAAAGGAAGAAGGAAGAAAGGAAGGGAAAAGAAAGAAAAAAAAAAAAAAAAAAAAAAAGAAAAGAAAAAAAGAAGGAAACAGAGGAGAACAAAAGAAAGGAAACGAAATGAAAGAAGGATAGAAGAAGAAGAATAAAAGAAAAAACAAAGAAAGAAAAGAAAAAAAAAAAGAGAAAAAGAAAGGTGCATAAAGAGAGAAGAGAAGAAAAAGGAAAGGAAAAGAGAGACAAAGGGATGAAGAGGGAGGAAAAGAAAGAGGGTGAAGAGAGAAGAAAAGAAAAAAGAAAGATGAGGAAAAAAAGAAAAGAAAAAAGAAGAACAAGAAGAAGAGATAAGAGAGAAGAGAAGAAAAAGAAAAGACCGAAGAGAGGAAAAAAGAAGAAAAGAAGAGAACCAAAAAAGAAAAAGGAAGAAGGAAGAAGAGAGAAGAAAGAAAAGAAGAAGAGAAAGGAAAGAAAAGGAAAAAAGAAGGAAAAGAAAAAGGAAAAGAGAAAAGAGAAAGAGTGAAGAAAGAAAAAAGAACACAAAGTGACAAGTAAAGAAAAGAAAAAAAAAAAGAAAATGAGAAAAAAGGGAAAAAGAAAAAAAAAGAGAGAAAGAAAGAAAAAGGAAGAAGAAACGAAGAGAGATAAAAAAAGAAATAAGAAAAGACAAAGATTATTATGATATGATTTATGTTTATTTTAAATGATAATATAATGTTTATAAATATAAAGAAAGGAGAGGATTAAGGAAAATAATGAGGATAGGGAAAGGAAGATAGAAAAGAAAAAAAGAAGAGAAAGAAGAAGAAAAAAAAAAAGAAATAAAAAATAAAAAACAAAGAAAGCAAAAAGGAAAAAAGAAAAGAAAAAAGAAGGAAAATAAAGATAAGAAAAAGAGGAAGGAGAAAGAAAAGGAAAGAAAAAGAGGGAAAAAGAAAAGAGAAGAAAAGTAAGAGGGAGAGGGAACGAGCGAAGGAAGGGGAAAAGATAGAAGAGAATAAAGACGAAGAAAGAGAAGAAGAGAAAAAAAAAAGGGGAGAAAAAAAAAAAAAAAGGGGGAAGAAGAGGGAAGAAAAAAAAATAGAAAAAAGGAAGAGGGAGAAGGAAAAAAGAAAAGAAAAAAGAGGGGGAGAGAAAAGGAAAGAAGAAGAGAATGAACACAAGAAAAAAGAGGAAGGAAAGGAGGAAGGAAAGAAAGAAGAGAAAAAAACATAAAAGAAAGGAGAGAAGAAGTAGAAAGAAGAGGCCAAGAAAAAAAAGAAGAAAAAAGAGAAGAAAAGAAGAAAGAAGAAAGAAGAAAAAAAGGGGAGAAGAAAAAAAAAAGAGA